CTCTAGGACAGGGTTCAGGCACCCCTTAGGAACTCCTGCACAATAGAAGCAACATGTGTTGTAAACATTTGTAATCATCATTTGTAATTTAGTGCCTTCACTTTTTGCTCTTTCAGTCGCAAACTTGTTTACATTTCACTCTGTTATTACAAACCCTCAACACAACTACAATAGTTCTCGAGGGAGATAATGGCTAGTTCATATAACTAACCCCATCTGTCCATATATTCTAATATCAGTCAGCACCTCAAATTGTTTCAACTTGTATCTCAGATCAAATAACAAACACTTCATTGCTCCAGAAATTTCTATACTAAATACTGTCAACTGTCAATGCATTTTCAGCTTGTTTTAACAAACTCTGCTGTTGAATTTGCATGTAACCCACAGCATTCCTTTAATAATATGTCACGAGTACATCCATGTGGAATCTACACCTGCAACGGTTCATGCTTGTAAAGTTTTAATTGGTTAAATTCCATAACACTTTACTGATTTAACTACTCAGGAGAGTGTAATACAGCACACATAATTTACCATAATTAATTTTACAAAATGACACTTGTATTTCCTGAAAATCAGTGTATGAAATACAGAAAGCATGTGCAGACTCTGTCTAGACCTGCTTATGACTGACAGCCTTTAATGGCCAGTGTTACACCCCGAACGCCCTTGGCTGTGTTTGGAGTAGTTTGTGGGTGTGAGGTCAGTGTATGAGCTGGGGTTGGATGGTAAGGGGGAATTGATTCGATACAGGCCGTGGTGTTTTGCCTGCACATCTTCCTTTCTACACATTGCACAAAAGTTGCATTGTAGTGCTCTGTGCCACAGGCTTTTGTGTGATGAGGACTCTCATTGTCCCTGGGCGTACATCGGTGTGGTTTCTCTTAGTCTCCTTCTCCTACTCTCTGCCCTCTCTTTCAAAGTTGCAGTGGATTGTGGGCTGACTAAACATCAACTTTGTGGGCTCTCCAAATCAGAGTCCCCTTTTGGAATGTAGTGTCTGCTGACGTCAAGAAAAAGTCAAGTCAACGAATAATTTTATGTTGCTTTAACTTATTTTAATCAGTTAATTAGGTTTCAACTAAATTTTATACAAAGTTTGGTTAATATTTTTAGTCAGTTCGATGCAAGTTGAGATGACTTAAGGGAATTTGATTGAAAAAAATTTTTTATGGCAGCAAGGCTTTTTTACAGTGTAGCTACATTTCAATCCTAGTCCACAAATGTAGCTTGTGCACAAAACTAGAAAATTAAAGGAATTATTTTTAAATGTACTGTTTTCATTATCTGTTCAGGGAAATTGGCACAAAAATAAAAAAATTAAAGTTGCTGCAGCTGGGGAAGCCTGAGTTTTGTTTTAGTTTTAGTTTTCGTTTGTTGTTTTGTTTCATGTTTCATGTTTAATCTTAAATTTTTGTTTTATGTTTTGTTTTCGTTTTGTTTTTTGTTTCATGTTTTGCTTCTTTTGTTTAGTTTAGTTTTTGTTTTATTTCGTTTTTAGTTTTTGTTTTGTTTTGTTTCGTGTTTGTTTTGTGATGTTTTGTTTATTTTATTTTTTTGTTTTTGTTTTGTTTTTTCTATTTTTTTGTTTTGTTTTTTCTTTTCTTTTTGTTTTGTTTTTTGTTTTGTTTTTAGTTTTTGTTTCATGTTTTGGTTTTTATTTTGTTTTTTGTTTTTGTTTCATGTTTTGTTGTTTTTTTGTTTTGTTTTTTGTTTCATGCATTTTTTGTTTTGTTTCGTTTTTTATTTTGTTTGTTTCGTGATTTGTTTTGTTTCGTGTTTTGTTCAGTTTAGTTTGTTGTTTTCATTTTTGTTTGTTTTTTAGTTTAGTTTTTTGTTTGTTTTTTTGTTTTATTGTTTTTTGTTTTATTGTTTTGTGTTTTGTTTTGTGTTATGTTCAGTTTAGTTTTTTGTTTTATTTTGCTTTTGTGTTTTAGTTTTGTTTTGTGGTGTTTCATGTTTTGTTTTGTTGTGTTTTTTGTTTTTGTTTCGTTTCATTTAATTTTATATACACGATTTGAGTTACATTCAGAGCGCAATGTAACATTGTAAAACAGTTATTTCAGAAAACTGACAATAATTGTGATGACAGAATTTAATTAATTAATTATTAAACATTAAATCTTACAGAACATTTAACCTACATTCTAAAGGCCTTCAGCTGTCACTAGCAAAATTTGCCTAGGATATGCTTTCAGTCTAGGCTTTCTCAAACAAATAAAAACATATGTCTATTTAAATAGCTTTTTGATTTTAAAAATAATAGTTTTAATTTTCAGTCTAGGCTGTTTGTACAAACTTTTCCAATCTAGTCCACGATACTAATATTTTATTGCATTTTTGATCATGTTTTTGAATGGTAATGTGCACATCTCAAATGTCTCTAAGATTTATTTTAAAAGGTCATTATTATAAATTTTTCTTTATTTTTGAGACTTTTAAACTTCTTAAAATTAGTTTTTATAGTAAAAATGCCCCATCACTCTTTTGCAATTTGAGCAGTTGGATCATGTTTCATCTGGCAAGATTCATCAGACTGTATTTGCACTGTATTTAGTGCTGTTGACTTGTGATCATATCAACTAAGACGGATGTACCAAGCATAAAAAAAATCCCATAGGATTATGGAGGAGTTCCCTAAGTAAACATTGCCATTGTTATTTTGTGCTTCCTTGAACCGTTCCCACATTAACATATCAAACCAAATCACTGTTTTGATGATTGTGGTTTTCTCAGACCTGTGTGCATCCGGTGGGCACGTGGAGACTTGTTTTTTATCTGAGTGGAGCCGCAGTCTTGAGTTCATGCAGAGGTTGGTGGACAGTGATCCAGTGTTTGGCAGCACAGCAATACCCACAGTATAAAACCAAGGGCACTCATCTGTGTCCACACAAACCTTTTAATCATACGCTCTTCGTGTGTATGTGTTTTGGGTTAGTTGAGCAGTGAAGCCCCTGTTGTGCTTTCATATTTTGCCAAGATGTCCTAAAGGCTCCACTAAGAGCATTAAAAGCTTTTCACTGTACTCCTCGTGCATGGAAATCATGATTATCTCTAGGATAAGTGTCAAGTTTGCACAAAAGAGACACTTGTAACAGAGTAAAACTGGTTTTAGTTGGTTGATCAACTGGACAGCAAGCTGTAGGCATTGAGGTAGACTTGCAAGTGGCCAGTAAACAGCAAATAATTTTTGCAAACAATCCTAATGGCCAATCAGAACTAGCCTAATAATATCAAAGCTCAAAATATGCAAATGCCCATTTGTAACATACATAATTTACCTCACTGTATGCATTATACATGAATTTTTCTTTGTTAACCACTCAATATTAGTAATTATAAAGATTATGTAATCATAAAAAATCATACCTTTTGACATATGATGACACATTACTACCAAACACAAGTGTCAGAACTCAAACTTTTGTGGTTCCTCTGAAAACAGCTTACAACGAGGGCAGTCTGTCAAAACCACAAGTTCTGTACTCTATGATGTAATAGTGTATAAGCTGCACTCCCATAGAAGATTCACCACATATATCACTGCCTATTTAGCAGCGTTAATATACAAAACTGTAAGTCAATCAGGGCAGTTGGAGTTTACTTCTGACTGTACAATCAGCCACATCAATTTGTACAGATTGTTCTGACGAGGGGTCAAAAACTGGATCAATAATAGTCAATCACTTTTAAATGAACATTTTTTGGAAAAATCTTAACATTATTGTGGATCAAAATTACTTTAAATTGACTGACTTTTTAGTAGATTTTTTAGATATAGTTTCACAATAGTTTTCGACAGTTACCATGGAAACAGAAACACACCCCCCCACACACACACGCACAAGGTCTCTCCTCTAGTATCCCTGCACCTCATAAAAGGGTTCTTACTTTTTTTCGGCATCCTGGCACAGCATTTTTCTCATTGGTAATGTAATTATTGCATATGTCAACCCTTTAACCCACCAAATTAAAAAAAGCAACCCAAGAAGCCCAATTAGACAAGAAATCTATGAACTTGGCAACCCTGCCTGTAAGTCAGCTTGGTTAAATGGATGGAGGTCTGGTTATGTGGTTGATTGCATTCTAGATTAAAGGCTTAAAAAAGCTATATGACCTGCTTACAAAATCTGTCTAATGTGAAATTGTAATATACTCTTTTTCTTTCGTTTTAATTGTTTTTTAACAGGATATTAAAATTTAATTAGTAACATCAATATATTTTTTTTGCTATATTGTCTTATTGCCAATTTTTTTTTATTGTTGTTGTATTGCTTTTTACACTGGGAAACACCTATACACTCTTGCATTCACACACATACACTTTGGCCTATTTATCTTATTCAATTCACATATACCACATGTCTTTGAACTGTGGGGGAAACAGGAGCACATGGAGAACATAGGGAGAACATGCAAACTCCACACAGAAATGCCAACTGACCCAGCTGGGGCTCGAACCAGTGACCTTCTTGCTATCAGGCGACAGTGCTACCCACTGTGCATCGTGATGGCCATATCATATCATATCATATATCATATCATATCATATATCATATCATATCATATATCATATCATATCATATCATATCATATATCATATCATATCATATCTAATCATATCATGTATCTTATATCATGTCATATCATGTCATATTATATATATTACAATATATAACAAATATCGTATCGTATTAGATCGTATCATGTATCATATCATTTCATTGTCACATCATATCATATATTATATCATATATATCATATTATGTCATGTCATATAATATCAAAAAATCTATCTTAAAAATTCTGACTTAATTTTTTTGCCTTTTTAAGGCTTATATTGTCCAGTCCTTGTTGCTGGCTTTTTGCTAGATTTTTTTATTTTATATTAACAATAATATTTGTAATATTTATTTGTCTTTCTTTATATCTTGTGCATTTGTAAGTGTATGAACTTCTATCAACAGTCTGTTCTTGTTTGTCTTGTATTTTTTTAGAGCTTGCTAGTAAATGCTCAATCATGGACTGCCAGTACAACTGTTCGGTGACTTTGTCCGGTCCAAAGTGCTACTGCAAGAATGGCTATGAAGTGGGAGAAGATGGAAAGACATGCAAAGGTGACCTGTCAATCAATTATTATTTATTTGTGTCTATTATCTGATATAACGATAGCTACAAATATTGGTCTCCTTTCCTATGACTTTTTTTTAACCATGAGGCTTTCTCTACTTCAGACTTTAACGAATGTGCCGTGTACGGGACTTGCAGTCAGACCTGCACAAACTCAGAGGGCTCCTACACCTGCAGCTGTGTGGAGGGTTACCTGCCGCAACTGGACAACCGCTCATGCAAGGCCAAGAATGGTAGGACACATTTCTTTCTGCTGGTTCATCTTGCTCTCTGTCTGCTCTTGCTCTAAAATTGTCCCCTATGACTGGTTTTGGGGTCTAAGGTCACATATTTGTAATCTATGTACATCTCTATGTATGTGTATGTCTATGTACTGTATGTTCAAAGTCTCTTGACTTCAAAAAATGTATCATATTATGACTGCTGATTTCATTCATCTGAAATGCAGAGGTGGGTTCTCACGCCCTTACTGATCATATTCAGAAATATCAGTAGATGTATTTGTATTGATTCTTTATTCAGACTATCAACAGTAGAATCAGATAAAGTGTTTGTTAATTGTAGTCAAATTAAATTTAAAAATCTGCTTCAACTTCCATCCCTATAATCCAAAATAATGATTATTTATCCTTATCTATGTTTAAGACCCAGTGGATCGGCTCCCGTTCCTCCTTATAGCCAACTCCCAAAACATCCAAGCCACCTCTCTGAGTGGAGCAAACCCTATTACCATCAACGACAAACAGACCACCACAATGGACTTCATCTACGCCCAGGAGACCGTGTGCTGGATCCACATGGGCGACTCTCCCACTGCCTCGCAACTCAAGTGTGCCAAGTTTCCCAATGCCAAGAGCTTTACGGAGGAGAAGACCATTAACATCTCCCTCAGCCTGCACCGTAAGACCATCTTCATATCTGTGTGTTTTAAATCAGTGTCAGCTCTTCATTTGGGATGAAAAATGATTCAATGGAACTTATTTAGGAGGCTTTGAAACTTGTTATGGGATTTAGTTGTTTTTAGTTACCTTACAGTAGTGCTCTGGGGGTCTGACAAACTTTTGAAAAACACATTTTTAACATTGAATGCTCATTTTTTCAGGCCTTCATGGTTGACAAGAAACAAATCAAAATCAGTCAAGCTTGATTTCTAAATGCTGTTACACGTTTTTTTGCTGTAAGAGGAATGGTTTCAATTTAGATTAAGTTTGTAAAGTCGTTCGTTTCAAATGTGTATGGCTTACAGCACCAATCAAAAGTTTGGGGTGTAGATTACATTTAAAAACTTCTGAAAACTTTTGAAAGTCAAACAAAAAATAAAACCATGGCCGCAATTTTCAACTAATGAACAACACCAACAGTCAGTCACAATAAATCTTGCTTTAAAAAACAAACTAGAGCATATAAAGCAGCAAACGACAGGCTTTAGTGTCACATGATGAAAGAAAAATCTTACTGCAGCAAAATCTTTTAAAAATAACAGATGTCTTTTGAAAGGAGAGATTTATAATAATGGACTGGATGCCCTTTTACTTGCAAGCACATAAAAAGGAAACCAAAGCTTTTAAAAAATCCCAAACATCCTAAAAGGACAATGAAAGGATCACTAAAAGTGGTAAATGACTTGCATGCTGTTTTTTAAGCGTTTGTGAGGAACAGACTAGTAAGACAGACCATTTCTGAATAAGGGAAATTTCATTTAAACCAGTTTTGTTACCTGGATAAAGCAATTCATTGAGGAGCTCTGACTCAGAAGAACTACTTGGAACTAATCGGATGTTGTTACTTTTCTCATGAAGGAATTTGAATGAACTCCAAGAACAGTGTGGGCGGAGATGTCCAACTTTTTTTTTGAAGTTTGAATTTCACTTGAATATATGGATCAAATTGAACTTTATGTGAAATTTTGTTTAGTTACATTTGAAGGGATAGTTCACCCAAAAAAGAAAATGTACTCCTTATTTATTCACCCTCAAGTGGGTTCAAACCTCTTTTAGTTTTTTTTCCTTTAAGGAAAAGTAGGAAAAACAAATACTATGGAAGTCAACGGTTAGAGGTTTTCAGCATTTTATGTTATAAATATATCATCTTTTGTGTTTAACAGAAGACAGAAACTAAAACAGGTTAGTGGCAAGTGAAGGTTGAGTAAATTAATTTTCAGTTTTAGGTGAACTATCTCTTTAAATTGTGGTCTGTTTCTGAAATGTAGTAGTGATAGAAGCATATGGACCACTTCTAAAGTCAGTGCTTTTTTTTGTCATTTTGGATCTTATAAACTCCAGTTTACATTCACTTTTTACATTCACAACTTTGAAAGAGGCCAAGAAAGGTCTCAGGGTTAAGTATCAAAACCGGTGCCATTATGGCACTGGTACCTTTGTAACTGGTATTCAACCGGACCGAATCAGATTTGAATTTCGGTGTCTAATTTCGGTGTCATTGGTGCTGTGACAAGGACGTAAGAAGCATTAGAGGATACATCAAAGGCACACATAGGTACGCGTTGTCACACCATCTCTAAATGTTTAATCCTTAACAACTCTGAGGGATATGGACACCATCGGCGATGTCAGGTGCTCTAACACACTTACCTGTAGGTTTCAAACAAGCGGGAAGGACTCAATTAGTTTGGTCAGGTGTATTTAATTAGGGTTGGAGCTAAACTGTGCAGGGATGCGGCCCTCCAGGAATTGAGTTTGACATCCTTGCTTTAGGGAATGCACACACATAGGCAACACGTGCAGTACAGCGCATCCGGTGTGCGAATTTCTTCAGCATGATTGCATTCATCAAATTTGCTTAAATTTGCTAATCGCTCTTAAGTATGATTATCAAATCAAATCACTTTTGTTTTCACATCATCAGCAGCAGAATACTGTCAGAATACAGACAGTGCAAATACAACGACAGTGCAATATACAACAGCATACTCCCAAAAAAACAGGACAATGTAAAATTGACAATGATATGTACAATAAATAGGTGTCCACATAGTTGTAGGCAGTATTGTTTCAAGTATGTTTTTTTTTTTTACATATTGATGGTGTGCAGTGAAGGGTATGGAAGAGTCTGTGTGGGGTGTGTTTAGTGTTCATCAGCCTGATAGTTTGAGGGAAGAAGCTTTCCTTCAGCCGGCTAGTGATTATATTTTTCAAACAATGTTTCTAACACAGCAATGTGAAACAGATGCTTTACAAAAGTCGCATGTAAGGGGGAAATCACATCAAACTTAACAAGGCAGAGGAATGCAGTCTTCGACAACTTGCGTCATCATCTGGCACTATCATCGATTGGGTTTACATGGACACTAATACTCCGATTTTAATATGATTAGGACAATACTCTGATTTAGAGTCTACCATGTAAACATTGATTTTTGATTACCTTAAAGGACCACAGACACCCGCGTCGTGAAATGCAGAGTTATTTTTTTTTTACATTCAGTGTATGGCATCAAATTCCAATAAAACTACCTTCTTCCACCAGTCCTTACTTCATATTTGCATTCAGTACTTCAGTTTGTCACAGGGCATTAACAATCAGCTGCGGAAGGAAAGTGAAACTGTCAAACTGCAGTTGAAAAATTAAAAGTGAAACAACAAAAATTATACATGAATCTCCGGAAGAAAACGCGGATAGCGTGATGACGCAATGATGTTAATTGATCTATGTGCTTTACCATGTAAACATTCAAAAAGCAACTCATGTAAACACCTTACTCATATTATTGTCTTATTCACATTAAGGCAAATATTCAGATTACTGATGTCCATGTAAATGTAGTTACAAGCCCCAACCACCGATCTATATAGAGAGATCAGTGGCCCCAACCCTAGAAAAAATGTGTTCCCTGATTTTCATGACAGCCTTTCCACAGGTTAGTAGTAAGCTATACTACTAACTATAGTGCATAGTGCAAATCTTAAAGTTATGCTAACAAGCAAATAATCAAAAGAAATAGATTAATGCTATTCAATTGACCCTTAACCAAGCCCTGTCCTCCTTAGTTACTGTTGCTCCGCCTGTAAAGCTTTCATGCCTGGCAAGGCTTTTACAATGTGTATGCGATGGTGTTAGACATTGCCAGGGATATAATGCCATTTTTGGAGAACAGGTGAGATATTCGAGAAAGCCAGACAAAAATGGACTGCAGTATGCATTACAGGGGTATATAGGCAACCGATTAGAGAATAATTCAATCAAACTTGAACCTAGCTTAGCCTAGCCGCCTCATACGCTGACCATTCAACAGCTTAGCTCATGCTCAGCAGGAAAGGTGAAATTTTAAAATAATCTAATAAAAACAAATTAAACCTTGATTTCTCTATTTTTAGCCAAAAAGCCTAATAGAATAATTGTTGTGCAATGAAAAATAGCATTACTAATCGACGAGGAAACACTCATGATTTTACATAATGCATTCATATAAAGAACAGCCAGGAAGGGAAAACTGATGGTTTTGTACCGAATATTAGCATCATTGACCATAACAATGTACAGTAAGTTACCTATTACTGTCAGTATGTTTTTGTGCTCTTTATAAATTACTAAAAAAACAGCTGCTGGTAAAGTATATTGAACGCAAGTGCTTAGTTTGTAACCATATCGGTTTTGTTTTGTTGATTTGTAATTTAATTTATTCGTAGCTTGAAACAGATGGAAATACGAAGTTCAGTAAAGTTAGCAACAGATTCACAGATTCGTATTTTCCGGATCAATAACTCATGTCATTATGACCTATTCGCTATTAGTATGACTAACGTTACTATGACGAAGGCTTAAACAAAGCATTAAGATACTCATAATATCTAGCGAAAAAAAATAAAAAAGACAGTTATTAAACATAACCTGCTTTGCATTTTTGTAGGAAACACAGTTTATATTTGTTAAGGGTAAGAGGTGTGCGACTTATTGCCATCTATTACGGAATGTCAGGAATATCAAAACAAAACCAACTCAACTCTGCTCCTTTAGCGCCCCTCACACAGCTTGATCCACGCTGGCATTTCTCCTCTTTGGTTTTTGGTTTTGAAAAGGGAAAAAATTCCACCATCCCGTACAAACTTTAAGGATACTGGGTGTCAGATTTGCACAATCCATATGCACAACACTTTGACTTGACAGAGCTCCTGCGCGTAGCAACGGTTGCTAAACCACGATTGGTGTATGGTGGTTTTTGGGTGTGGCTTAGCGAAGGGTCAATTCAAAAATACAAAATATGAATTAACCTATACTTTAAACTTTAATTATATTGTTCAATCAAAATGATTAAAAGTTTTTTGCCAAATAAAAGATTTTTCCTAGAGTTTTCCACCATAATTTTGTGGCTCAAAAGTATCAGACACAGTTTTGGCACCTGTAACGTTTTAGAAGGATTTATTTAGCACCGCTATCGAAATAACCCCAAACAACACCCAACCCAAAACTCCAGTGTAACATTTTAGAGTAATATCTGGCAACAGCACTTAGTTTGGTTGCTTGTCTCTTAGAAATGCACATTTGAAAGTAGTTTAAGCTGAAAATAGCAGGAGCATGAGGATCTAAATGTAAATGATTTTTAATTAATAAAACAGTACCATCTGAAAAAAAAACAAAAACAAACCTGTAATAGCCTCATCGACTACATTTATAAATAATAATAATAACACTGTCATCTCAGTAGTTCACTTTGCAGCTTAAACGCTTTACCAAATCAACCTTGTTATCTGAGAAATCACACCATCGATCATTTTAATCCACCTAAACATGACTATAGTCAACACACTCTGAATGATGACAGTTTTAGGTGATTATGTGCTGTTTGCCATCAGCAGAGACAAAGAAAAGACTTAATTTGTCTGTGTCCGTATTTATTACTTTTAATTCAGCTCAGTCTATGATCAGCCTTAATGTTTGTCTGGAAAACATATAATTAGTGTCTCATGACGCGGTCTTCACAGTGACATACCGGTGACAGTGACATGTTTGTTCTAGA